ATTTAAAACGAATTAATAATTAAAATTGTTTTAAACTTTCGGGAAACTTTGATTTTTCTACAGGAAAATTGATTATTTATCACTTATTTATAACAAATGCTCGTATCATATTTATTTCTGTGCCCACTCCTCAGCGATTCTGGACGGATATTGTTGACAGTGAAAAAAACTAAACGACAAATCGCGATTGAACAATTGCCAATATTTTCCATTATTTTTTTACCTTTAGTTTTCCATGAAATTTCAATTCCTCTCTACCGCTGAACATAACGAGAAATTAACACAGGGAAAGAGCTTTAATCATCAACTGTGAGAGGTTCAGCCCCCGAGTGGTCGTCAACTTGTCTTGAAATCTTCATCTGCAGGGCGAAAGGGTGACATGACAAGAGGGAGGGAGAGAGATAGTAGCAGAAAGGTCTCAAGACTTAATTATCACTCGAGCGGTACGGCCGAGAGGAGTGGAAACGACCGGGGGATTTGGCCACCGTGGTTGCCAGAAATTAGCTCCACAAATCTTTCTCTTCATCTTCATCAGTACAGTCCATCTTCTCGGTGTATATAGTCTTCAGAAGAAATCTTAAGTCGTCCACTTTTCTTGAAACCCGCTACACGGAGAGAAATGTTCAGTAAAAATTACGGAACTCTCACTTCACTCACCGATTACGGAATTGATTCAGAAAATTTAAGTGACGGTATCGTAATTTTTCACAAGAGATTCAGATAAAAATTACGGAACGCTCCGAAAAAATTCCGTGACAGTTCCATAAAATTTCCTACAACCACATTTCGCTCCGGAATTACGGAAAAGATACGTCATTTTTATTGAATATTTCTTACCGTGTATTTTTCTCTTCCAACGTTGATTTCTCCGTGGAATATTCTCACAGAAGCGATTCAGTTCTCTCTCATTGTTTCGAAGTCAAAACCTTCATTCAGTGAATTTTTTTGTTTAAATTCAATTATCGTTGTTTGTTTTACATTTATTCAAACTTTACCTTAATTTTTCATTGCGATTCTATGCGCGTGAAATGATTAAATAATTATTAACATTATTGTTTAGAAGGCCAAGAGAACAATCTCATTGTCATATAAATAAAATTACTTCTCGTTTATTCTTGACACATTTTTATTGAAATAAATATGAGTTTATTTAAAAAATTATCGAAATGAATAGAAAAATTTCAAATGAAGAGTTTCATTCAACTCGAGTGACTAGATTTTTGAATAAACAAACGTTTTTTCCATCCAAATCAAGATTTAAGTAATTAAAGATGGAATTATTATTTAAAAGGCGAAAAGAAATAATTAGTTAACATGCAATAAGCCTTTATTTGAAATAGATAAATCATTTATTTCAATCAGGACATTTTCATTGAAATGAATCCACGAATTACCTAATTTCGCTGAAAATATTGTCGAAACAATATTTCAAATGAAGTCTTTTATTGACCTAAAATCCGCACTTTGTCCGCGCAACAATTTTTTCCGAAGCTTCCCTCCTCGTCATAAATATTCTCACCGTAGAAATGATCCTTTCCTTATTTTTCCCCAAGATCTCCTCAGAAAGTAGATATTCCAATGATGGCGCGGGATATAAAGAGGAAAAGGATCAGCAAGTCGTCTGGCCGTGAAACGAGATTCTCCGTTGAATTCCACCTATGGGCGCCATAGCACACCGCACTAGATAAAAAAAGGAAGTGTATAAAAATGAAAAGGGAAATATTTGGGGTAAACGCAGAGGGGTGGGTTTAAACATCGCCCGTTGGAAGACGCACGGATCATCCGGCACTCGAGACCTCCACCGAGTGATGTTGTTCAACGCGAAATAGCCTCGGAGGGGGTGGGGAAATAGGCGCATTTACGATGCCCTCGGTGGGGATTTTTCCTCAACCTGGGGGCGGGGGTGGGCTAGAGGCAGCGGATAAGCTCTCGCCTTCAGGAAAAATATCGTGGTGGTGTGTCGGAAAAATGTCTATCTTCGTGAACCCTCGCACCCGGGGTGTTCTTTGACGCTTTCCTATATGCATTTCCCGTTAAATAAATGCGGATTGAAGTTTGAATGGGGGATATTCACGGAGGAGTCCACACTGTTGGGAAAAAGTTGAGTTTCCGGGGACAATTGAGGGGTAATTTTCAGGAGAGTGACATTAAATTTATTTTGGAGAAAAAAAAATTTTCTGATTTCACTGAAAATGCAATAAACACTGTTAATTAATAAGAATATTATAATGATTATCAATTATTGATAATGAAATTATCGTAATTAATTATTATTAATTAATCATAATAGTAATTAATTGAAAATTCAAAAATATGTTCACCTGAATTTTTCGGATTTCCAATTTTCAGAGACGTCATTTTGACAGAAGAATTGAAATAAAATTTACAGTTGGACAAACCCGTTAAACAAATGCAAAATTTTGGTTCGGGATATTAAATTTGAAATCAAAGGGAGTCGCGAGGCTGAATTTTCCACTTTGAAACGTGATTTATTACAAATGACAGAGGAATGCAATTTCTATGAATTTTTCATGCCCCGTCGTTTAATTCACCCCTTTGTCACATCTCCTTGATGACTATTCATTGAATTATGTAATTCTATGTTGTGTAAGATCAATATTATATGAAAGGAAGCTATTATGAACTCTTCCTGTTGGATAACTTGACATGAGTGAAGGTTACGAGTTATGAATAATGTCGTTAAAGAAATGGAAATTTTGTTTGTTGAAATATAAATATATTATGACAATTCAAATTAGAAGACAGGGTACCTGTTTAGCAAGGAAAATTGCGGAAAATTTATGCACAATTAAAATCATATCTGGTAATACATTAATTCTTCAAACTTGAACGAAAAAAAAATGCTTTGCACTCAAATCTTTGAAATAATTTTTGCTCGTGCGTTTCTATCCGCTCATTGAGAGTGTTCCAATAAAAAAAATTATCGAGGAACTCAAAAATTCCGCTCCATAGGAAAAAATGAAATTAAACCGACAGAAGTCCTCTATGCATCCCCGAAGAGCCTAAAACCGCTGGAATAGAAAATCGATGACCTCATTGATTTCCCCAATTCTATGGTGTGGCACGTATAGGTGGTCACGGTATTTACCGAGAGGTGCTCTCAAATACCAATTAGCTAGCAAATCGCCAAGTGCACTATGCACCCACTCGACTCGTATTTTTCCCTCGAATTTCATTCAAACAGTGATGAGAATGTAAAAGCCAGTGGGAACTGAGTATTTTCCACTATCAATGTGACAAGCGTCACAATGTTTTATCCCCTTATTGCGTTGTGGCTCCCTTATGCACTCCATACTCCGATATTTTTATTTCTGTAGTTGAAATTGATGTATTATTCATGTTGTATTATTATGAAAAAATTTCAAATAGAAAGTTTTATTTTATTCAAATGAGACGTCATTTTTCTCGATGTCATATTAAAATTCACAATTTCAAGACAAATTTAATGATATCTCTGAATTTTTAGGGCATATTTCTTCAATCGAAATGAATTAATTAATTTCATTAATTAGAAAAAAAATTTGGTTTATAAATTATTCAGATTATAATTAATGAATTATTTAAATAACTATTAATGAATTATTCATGGCACATGATCTTAGACTGAATAAATAATTTAAAAATTTTATTCCGCTGACATTTCAAGCAAATCCATGAATTAAAATTCACAGTTTCACGACATAATGAATAAAAACTGCAAATTTTCCGTCCACATTTTTCCGCTTCACATGAAGATTTCATAAATTAATAATAAATTCTTTAACGAATTATTTAAATAATTATTGATGAATTATTCATGGCACACCATCTTAAACTGAATAAAAATTAAAATTCTTTATTCCGCAGACATTTCGAGGAATTCCATTGATTAAAATTCGCAATTTCCCGACAAAACGACTGAAAGCTCTAACCATTCACTGCACTATGCACCCAAACTCTCCTCGAATTTCGTGTCACCACTGACGAGAATGCAAAAGCCATTGGGAATCGAGCATTTTCCCCCATCAGTTTGACAACCGTCACCATTTTTTATCCCCTCATTTACTAATCCCTCCCTCATGGGCTCGAACAACCAATATTTTTATTTCTCCTCCAAAAGAGTGCCACATGACACTCCACCGTGTGATGAATATTGTACGCGTATGGATCGATGTCAGTGGTGGAAAGCGGGGGCCAGCGAGAGGGGGAGGGAGTCAGCCGATAATTCGTTCGGGGCTGAATGGCACGGTAATAACCGTCGAGATTTCTATTATATGCGGGATGAGGTTGGATGAAGCGAACAGAGGATAATCCTGCCGGTGGGATTGTGGTGGCGAATTTGAGGGGCCAGTCCCCGGAAACGTGTCTTCACCCTTCCGTTGAATTGTTCACTCGCAGTCTACGATGACCCCGTGAAATTCAAACTAGTCTGCATATCGATTATTTTCGGTGCTTGGGGGGTTCATTATAGTCGAGGGCTTCTCATCGTTGCGGAATTATTGATCCGGATCGGACAGTCAGTCCGGTGCTATTCAATTTGGTTGGTGAATATTAGAGGGATTCGAGGGGACTGTTCGTTAATTGTTGTGGTGATCACTGTTGAAAATTTTCGGCTGAATTTTCCAAATTCCGAAAATTTTTATCGCCTTCAAGTTCCACTGACATTTCAGGAAATCTTGCCATTGGAAAATCAAAAGATTCATTGAGTTTCTGCTCGAATTATCTGGAAATCAATGAAACACTTGATTTTTCGGTTCAATTATATTAATTGAATTGGATAAATTATAGAAATTAATTGGATAAATTGAAAATTAAGGTCATTTTGTTTCTGAATATTCGGGTTCCAGTGAAAACTCGTGAATTTCTGTGAATTGTACCCAAACCTTGAAATTTCAGAACCATTTTGTCGCTAAATCCGATTGAATGTCACTCTCGTGAGATTTACCAGAATATTTTCCGTGAAAATTCAAAAAATTTCTAACAGTGTTATTCTTTTTCAGATGGACGTCAATGTTGGGGGCATTTTTGCACTGATGTGCATGGTTTTCTTGGCTGGAGATGTCGAGTCGCAGTTTAGGGATAAAAATATAAGTGAGTAATCAATTATCATTTTATTCAGTTTTTTTTGCATTTTTATTGCAGTGAATTCTTGAGATTTATTCTCATTCTTAATCAATCACTCCATGCGGCGCCTCCTTCGGAAGATCTTTTCAACGTTTCATTATTCACATCAAGTAATTAAACATAAAAATAATCTCTGAATGTTTATTCAGAATAGAAGAGTTAAATTATTCTTGAAACTTCGTTTTCTTCAATGTCAATTCATTTTCGATCTTAAATTCGTATTTCAATCAATTGGCGGATTTTATTTCACAAATTATTTATTCATTAATTCATTATTTATTATTATTAATTCATATATCATGATTATGACGGCAAAATGCTTTTTAAATTTATTATAAACTTCGCAAATATGGAAATTAAATCTTCTTCCAAAAAAATAAAAAAATCGTCTATTTAAACTTTTCGCATTTCAATATTTTGGCACACGAGGTCATTATTACTCAGGGTTATTTTATCGCTTCGTTCAGAGTATTCTTTATCTAGCCCGATAGACTCACCGCTGACGGAGCGAACTCTGTATGTAAAAGCCGCAATTCCACCCCTGTGCACGTGAGTCTCTCGCTTTCCATGTTGGTTAGCTCTCAAAGATCCTCGCCGAGACCATCTTGATGGTGGATGGAACGCGTCTGAGCTCGCGCAAATACCGAAAGAGTGGTTTGAGAGAGGAGTAGCTTCAAAAATCCACCGCGAAATTGGAGGGATCAGGCTGATATCTCTTCGCGCTAGATCTGAACGGTTGTTCCGGTTTTTTTGCCCTTGCGATAGCCGCATTCGGCTTGAGGTGCAAGCTTTTTTCACTTGAGCAGTGAAAAACATTTCCGTGAATCGAAGCTATTGCGGAGATGATGATTAAATGGGAGGGAAGTACATTTAAAAGAACTTAACGTTCGTAGATTTTGAAAAATTATTGATCAATTGTTGTCGCATGTTAAAAAATTAATTCTCTTCATCTCCAAAACTATTATTCTATGTTTAATCAATAAAGTCTTCATTTAGATCAACATGACATTTGTTTATATTTAAAAACTCATTCATTCGATGCGAATAAAAGGGGAAATAAATATCATAAAATGCTCTACTTGAAAATTTTCCTTTCGTAAATTCACTTCGATAAAAATGATTTAATTATATTAAATGAATAATTAATACATTCCAAGTAAATTCTTTATTAAAATCGAATAAAGTTTTTATTTGGATCGAGAGAGCATTTCTTTAGATTTATTGTTATGAAATAAATTCATTCGTTTGTTTCAAATAAAATATTCCTCTGGGTTCACCTCCCCTCAATGATATTAATGTCTGAGAATTAAAAATGTTCGGGAATAAAACCCCGAGATTATTTAATTAAAAATGATTGGGAGTTATTTTCTTTCTGCAAATATAAATCATCTTTCCCGCAAACAATAGCCGAATGAAGCTACAATTTTGGAGTCAATTCGTTTCATTTCAATCGAATTTATTCACTTGGAAGGGTGTTCGTTCGAAGTCATTCAGAAAATGTTATTTTACCAGTACATCGTTGCAACACAACACACTGCATTAAATCATTGTTGGGCATTAATTCGGGCTCTCTTCCATTTGAATGTAATTTTATCAGCTCTCATGGATACACCAGTCCGTGCATTTAGCTCTGACAGGTGACCTTAATAAACTCACTGAAGTCGATAAATCCAGTCGATCCGAAATATGTGGCCTGCATAACTAGAAAGTGGAAGATTAAAAACCTTTTTCATCAATCCTGGGGTTGGCACAGTCGATCTAGCAATTTAACATGACTCGAAATGTTAATAAAAATTACAAATTGAGTCTCTTATTGTTGTTATCAATTGGTAGCGCTTGAGTGGATGAAATGCTTTGCACAAATGTTGATTTTGTGGAGAGATTTATTATAATTAGGAATTTTAGTTTATTTTATTTCAGTTATTAATTATAATTTGAATTGACGCGCTAAATTTTATTTTGAAAATATCAATATTTTGGTTGCTTCATTTTTCAGTCATTTTGTTCGTTTTAAACTTTGGAATAACAAGGAATATTAAACTTTGGTTTGTTATCTGGAAGAATTCCAAAATCTAGAATTTCATCTTTTTGTACAACTTTTTCTATTCAGACATTTTCTGTAAGAATTCTTCGATATAAATTTTCTGAGTTTTTTACTCTATTTCAATTCCCTCTTCATAAAAAAAATTAAGCAAAGGAACTTGGACAATTCAAGCCGAGGAATATAAAAAAAAAAATCTAAATAGAATAAGCTGTACAGAAAAATCTAATTCTATTGAGTTTTTTCTGTAGATAAACCCCGGATTTTTAAATAGAATTGGCATATTGCAATAGAAAAATTAAAGGAAAGTTCTCTAAAAATCCAATAAAATTATCTATCGAATTCGCTAGGTTTTTTTGGTGAATTTTTTTCATATATGCTCTCAAACTACTGACAAAAGTAATAAGCGTCATGAAAAAATACTCGATTGTATTTACAAACCAGGCATAAATTCCATGATACCGTATTCATTTTACCGTAATCACTGGAGCATCCATGCGACGCGGAACACGAAACTTGCGTACTAAATCTCATCCATCGAGCCCACGCGCCCATACACACAGTATCATGCGTTCTCCCCTATCTCCACCCCCCCCCCCC